GCAATATTACAGTGTGCTCAACCCAAGTTCAACTACTACTCTCGCTTCGTATGTGTCTCCAACGGCATCAGGATAAATAATCTTCACGTCGTTACAATATTCTAAATTCCTCCTACAATTTAGAAATAAGCAAAACGTACACATATGAGCTTGTTTCTAAAAAACAAAGAATTTTTTCGAAGATCGTTTGTCTCCGAGATATTCTCTACCGATCGAAGAAATTCTCGGACTGGGAAAATCTGATGGAGCAACACCGATCGTCGATCGGCTCTGGTCATAGTCCCAAAGGACGGTAACGCGAGTCCTTTTTTGGCTGACCTAATTGGGACCACCATGCTCGTGTCCGCTCATTCACTGATCGCGGCAAGCCACCGCTAGCGTAATTAACCCGATTTACTGCGGTAGGTCTTTCGAAATTTTAGTAACCGACTGGTGTCATCGTAACCGTCAAAAGACGAAACTTTCGTTCTAAAGGCAAAGAATTAGAATTTCATCGAAGCGATATGTATGTACACGAATATGCATATATATCGAAATAAGAAGATACGAAAGTTTTTTGTAGGAAATGAAGAATCTTCTGCAGGCAGAAGATGCGTCACTCGGCTCGACTCTACACGAGACGCGACTTCGATGAAATGGAAGAAAAAGTATAGTAGCAGGCGTGGTCGAAGGTACTCGACGGCTACCAAGTAATTTACAGGACATTTCGACAGGCGAACGTCGAGAAATAAATTTCGGTTTTGTCAGCGAAGATGCGGCGCGCCGTGAAGGCAGGCCTCAAGCTGAAATAAATCTCCGAGGCTGCTTCGATCGTCGTTGCTTCGCGAATGACAAATGCACGCTGCACGCTCATATAAAAAACAACAGAGAGGCAAACCCGACCGAGACGAGGAGGTGGAATCGAGATCGATCTGAAGCGTGTTCAGGTCCGCGATTAAAATAAACGAATAAACTGGATCGAACGCCGCTGGATAACGGTACGTCGTCAATCACGTAAATCGACATCGAAATATCGCGTGTTCAATCAGACGAAATTGACTGGCGCAGACTTTCTTCGAAAACGAAAGAGAAACGACAAACGAAACGGTGAAGAAAGAAAAAAAA